AGGCAAAAGCTCTGGGATAATTGAATCTTTGCTTCACCTGCCACTCTACCCAGGTTAAAGTAACACTAGGCATTGGTGTTTAATGTGGTCCCTTCCATACTCATCCACACCCAGTAGTGGGAGCCATAGTTAGCGGAATACCAACACTCACAGGGAAGATTTGGCAGGCTCAAAACCCTGCTGAGACAGCCAGAATGGTAAAACAAAGAAACAAATCCCAAATGAAAGAACAAGAGAATTCTGCAGAAGAAGGGATAAACGAAATGGAATTATCAGAGGTAGAGTTCAGAGTAATGATTATGAGAAAACTCAACAGCCTGAGTAAAGATACAGAAACAATGAAAATCAGCCAATTGGAAATGAAAAACAACCAGGGGAAAATGAAAAATGACATAGCAGAAATAAAGAACACATTGGAAGGAATAACCAGCTAATTAGAGGAAGCCAAGGATCAGATCAGTGAATTAGAAGACAGGGTAGAAAAAAAATCACCTATTCAAAAAATCAAAAAGGAAAAAAAAAAAAAACAATTAAAAAACAGGAGGACAGTTTAAGAGAGCTGTGGAACCACATGAATGTAACAACATCTTCATCATAGGAGTTCCAGAAGAAAAATAAAATGAGCAAGGGTTAGAGAATATATTTGAAGAAATAGTGATAGAAAACTCCCTAACTTGGTGAAGGAAAAAGGCATACAAGTTCAAGAAGCACAGACACCCCCAAGTAAGAAGAACCTAAACAGGCTTACACCAAGACACATAATAATTAAAATGCCAAAAATTAAAGACAAAGAGAGAATCTTAATGGCATCAAGAGAAAAGCAACAGGTTATCTACAAAGGAGCCCCATAAGGCTGTCAACTGATTTCTCAACAGAAATACTACAGGTCAGAAGGGAATCACATGAAGTATTCAAGATAATGAAAAACAAGGATCTGAACCCAAAACTACTCTATCAAGCAAGGCTATCATTCAAAACAGAAGTTGAACTAAAGAGCTTCACAGACCAAAAAAAAAGCTAAGTGAATATATTAGCACCAAACCAACACTGCAATAAATGTTAAAAGGACTGCTGTAATAAGCAGAAGAAATAGAGAAACATAGCCATAATAAATAAATAAGTACATATCAATAATAACCTTAATTGTAAATAGATTAAAAGCTCAAATCAATAGACACAGAGAAGCTAAATGGATAAGAAAGCATGATTCATACTTTGTTGTTTACAAGAGACCCGCCTCAGAACAAAAGACTCACACAGGTTGAGAGTGAAGGGATGGAAAAAATGTTTCCAAGCAAATGGAAACAAACAAACAAAAAAAGCTGGGTAGCATTACTCATATCAGACAAAATAGACTTCAAAATGAAGACCATAACAAGAGACAAAGAAGGCCACTACATAATATTGAAAGGATCTATCCAACAGGATGATATAATCTTGTAAATATATATGCACCCAATATAGGAGCACCAAAATATATTTTAAAACTTCTAGAGGACTTCTAGGAGACATCAACAGTAATACAATCATAGCAGCAGACTTCAACAGCCCACTGACATCACTGGATAGATCCTCTAGACAAAAAATTTACAAGGAAACAGAGACTGAAATGATTCATTAGATCAAATGGATTTAATAGATATTTGCAAAGAATTGCACACCAAAACTGCAGAATTCACATTTTTCTCAAGTGCACATGGGACATTCTCAAAGATAGACCACATGTTAGGACACAAACTAAGTCTTGACAAATTCAAGAAGATTGAAATTATAACAAGCATCCTCTCAGATCACAATGGCATGAAACTAGAAATTAATTACAATAAAAACACTCAAAAACATTTAAACACATGGAGGCTAAACAGCATGTTATTGAACAATGAATGAGTTACCAAGGAGATCAAGGAAGAAATAAAAACTTCCTGGAAATCAATGAAAATGAACACACAATACAAAAGCTATGGTACACAGCGAAAGCAGTCCTGAGAGGGAAGTTCAGAGCATTACAAGCTTACCTCAAGAAACAAGAAAAATATCTAATAAGCTATCTAACCATACAACTTAAAGAACTAGAAAGTAAACAAAAAGAAAAACCCAGAGCAAGTAGAAGGAAAGAAAGAGTAAAGGTCAGAGGGGAAATAAATGACATAAAGGCTAAAACAAAAACAAACAAACAAACAAACAAAAAACAATTCAAAAGATCAATGAAACAAAGAGCTGGTTCTTTGAAAAGATAAACAAGACTGATGGAACCTGTAGCCAGACTTGCCAAGAAACACAGAGAGAGGACCCAAATGAACAAAATCAGAAACGAAAGAGAAGTAACAACTGACACCACAGAAATACAAAGGACCATTAACAAATACTATGAACAATTATACGCCAACAATTTGGACAATTTAGGTGAAATGGACAAATTTCTAGAAACACACAGTCTCCTAAAACTGAACCAGAAAGAAACAGAAAACTTGAACAGACTAATAACAACTAAGGAAATTGAAGATGTAATCAATAAACTCCCAGTAAACAAAAGCCTGGGTCCAGATGGCTTCACAGGGGAGTTTTACCAAACATTCAAAGAAGAACTAGTACCTATTCTCCTCAACCTATTCTGAAAAATGCAAGAAGGAGAAAGCCTTCCAAACTCTTATGATGCTAGCATAATCCTAATTCCAAAACCAGATAAAGACACTACAAAGACAGAAAACTATAGGCCAATATCTTTGATGAACATAGATGCCAAAATCCTTAAAAACATAATAGCAAATAAAATCCACCAATATATTAAAAAATTATTCACCATGACTAAGTGGGATTTATCCCAGGGATGCAAGGCTGATAAAATATTCACAAATCAATAAATATATCACATTTTTAAAAAAGCAAGAAAAAACAATATGATCATATCAATAGATGCTGAAAAAGCTTTTGACAGAATCCAGCACCCATTTCTGATAAAAACACTCAGCAAAGTGGGAACAGAGGGATCATATCTCAGCATAATAAAGGCCATATATGTAAAACCTACAGCCAACAACATACTCAATTGGAAAAACAACAGGACAGGGATGCCCACTTTCACCACTCTTATTTAACATAGTACTGAAAATCTTAGCCACAGCAATCAGACAAGAATAAAAAAATAAAAGGGATCCAAATTAGAAAGGAGGAAGTGAAACTGTCATTATTCGCAGATGACATGATATTGTACACAGAAAACCCTAAAGACTCCATTAAAATCTACTAGATTTAAGGAATGAATTTAGCAAAGTAGCAGGATACAAAATTAACATCCAGAAATTGATGGAATTGGAAAATTCATTATATTAAAATGTCCATACTACGCAAAGCATTCTACAGATTCAAAGCAAACCCTATTAAAGTACCAACGGCATATTTCAAAGATCTAGAACAAATACTCCAAAAGTTCATAGTGAACCATAAAAGATCCTGAATAGCCACAGCAATCCTGAAAAAGAAGAACAAAGTGGGAGGGATCACATACTTGTAGTATATCAAGTTATACTACAAAGCCAATGTAATCAAAACACCCTGGTACTGGCACAAGAATAGGCATATAGATCAATGGAACAGAACAAAGAACCCAGAAATTGACCCAAGACATTATGCTAATTAATATTTGACAAAGGTGGCAAGAGCATACAATGGAGTAAAGACAGCCTCTTTAATAAATGGTGTTGGGAAAATTGGACAGCTACATGCAAAAAGAATGAAACTAGACCAACTTACACCATTCACAAGAATATACTCAAAGTGGATAAAGATTTCTATGTAACCTATGAAACCATAAAAATCCTAGAAGAAAATATAAGCAGAAAAATCTCAGACATCATACACAGAATTTTCACTGATACATTGCTTAGGGCAAGAGAAAAAAGGAAAAAAATAAACAAATGGGACTACATCAAACTAAAAAGCTTCTGTAAAGCAAAAGAAACCAGCAACAAAATGAAAAGGAAACCCACTCTCTGGAAGAACATATTTGCCAATGATACATTGGATGAGGGATTAATTTCCAAAATATATAAAGTACTCATTCAACTCAACAAGAGGAAGATGAACAATCCAATTAAAAAACGGGCAGAGGATCTGAATGGACACTTCTCCAAACAAGACATACAAATGCCCAAGATACATATGAAAAAATGTTCAACATCACTAATCATCAGAGAGATGCTAATTAAAACAACTATGAGGCATCACCTAACACATACCAGAATGGCTGCCATCAACAAATCAATGAACAACATGCTGGCGAGGGTGTGGAGAAAAGGAGACTCTAGTGCACTGCTGCTGGGAATGCAGACTTGTGCAGCCACTGTGGAAAACACTATAGTGTTTCCTCAGAAAATTAAAAACGGAACTGCCATTTGACCCAGTAATCCCACTACTAGGACTACATCCTAAGAAGCCTAAAACACTGATCACAAAGACTATATGTACCCCTATGTTCATAACAGGACTATTTACAATAGCTAAGATCTGGAAATAGCTCCAGTGCCCATCAGTAGATGAGTGGATAAAATAGCTGTGTTACATTTACACGGTGGAATACTATGCAGCTTTAAAAAGAAAGATCTCTTACCCCTTGAAAGGGCATGATGGAACTTGGAGTGTGTAATGCTGAGTGAAATAAGCTAGTCAGATAATGACAAATAGCACATGATCTCACTTATTTCTGAAATCTAATGAACAATATAAACTGACATACAAAATAGATCTGGAGACATGGAAGTAGAGAACAGATTGACACATCCCAGAAGGAAGAGAGACAGGAAGAGATAAACCAAAGAACTTATATGCATAACCAATGGACATAGAAAATAGTGTGGTGAAGGCATCGGTGGGGTGGAAGCTGGCAGGAAGGGGTCAGTGGGGTGGGGGGAGAGCACAAACATCTGTAGTACCTTCAACAATAAAGATAAATTTTTAAAAATAACAACAATAAACTATTAGTTGTTCAAAGGCAAGTTAGTTACCTCAAAGAATTATTCTCTGCTTTCTGTCTGCCAAGTTCACTGTCAGTATCCATTACCTTTCCTGCTAGTGATTTTATTTCTTTTTCCACAGTGGTTATGGTTTCCTTCATCAAAGTTATATTTGACATTTGTTCCATATATTCATCATCAAGCTATATAAATAGAATGACAAGGTTACTGCCATCACTAAAACAATTCAGTGATCTTCCTAAAGAGACATCTGCTTTTTGTAAAAACTTGTATATGACTAGAGATGATCAGATTAGTCTTGAACATTGTGAAGGCTGTATGGACAAGGTATTGTGGAGTAGGAACAAGAATAGTATATCCATCTACATTTTCAGTCTAGTTCAATTTGACTTTAACATACATATCCGATTTGCAAAAGCTTTTTTGCTCAATGTTAACAAATTAAAGTGGAATTATGAAAAAAAAATGTTTCCCCCTATCTACTGCTTTTTCTTTTTTTTTTTATCCTCACCTGAGGACATTTTTGAATTTATCTTCCAATAGAACAGAAGGAAGATAGGAAGGAAGAGAGAGAAACATTGACGTGAGAGAGACACATCGACTGGTAGCCACCCACACGACCCCAACAGGGGCTGGGGACAAACTGCAACCAAGTTACGTGTCCTTAGTGGGAACAGAACCCAGGATTCTCTGGTCCCCAGGCTGACACTCTAACCACTGAGCCAAACCGGCCAGGGCTCTACTGCTTTTCTTTTACTCATTATAAAAACATAATACAGATGAATTTATAAATACATTCAATTAAATTTAGTAACAAAGTCAAATTCCCTTAATTCTGTTTGTATAGTCATCATATCTCATTTACAGCATCTCGAATCCTTCATTAGTTAAAAAAAAAAAAAAAAAAAAGTGATGCTTCACATTTAAATTCAGTTTACATATGTTTTTCTCATTAATTTTCATTTCACCATAATTTTCTCTATCCTAGCTTCTCTTTACATAGAATAATCCAGTTTCCTTGTATCTGGCAATGTTATCTTTAATGAAATAGGGAGATGAAAATTTTGCTAAAATCCTTGAGAATGCCTCCCCAATGGTTTTTGAAAAAGAACACTTTGCAACATAACATAAAAATGATTTTACAGTTGTCCCTTGTTTATCACGGATAATCCGTTCCAGACTCCAGCGGTTGCACCTGGCGTTGAAGGATCCCTGGGGTGCTCGAATACACAGGCCTACAATCCATACATACAGTAACTTTAATTGTAGTTGTAATACAGGGGTGTATAACTGACTCAGACAACTGAGTGCATGCTGTATCATTTTCACTGTCTCGATCAACTTTTTAATGAATATATTAGAAAAAACCGCAATAGAGTGAAGCCGCAAAAGTCAAAGCGTGAAGTGGTGTGGGATGACTGTACTCACTTTTTTCTTTTTTTATCCTCACCCAAGAACATTTTTGCATTTCAGATAAAGCAGGAAGGAGAGAGGGAGGAAGAGAGAGAGAGAGAAACATCAATGCGAGAGAGACACATCGACTGGTTGCCATCCACACAACCCCTACCAGGGCCGGGGACAAACTGCAACCGAGGTACATGCCCTCAGCAGGAACCAAACCCGGGTCTCTGTGGACCGCAGGCTGATGCTATAACCGCTGAGCCAAACCGGCCAGGGCTGTACTCACATTTTTAGAAGGGAATACACAATGAAGAATTGACAATTTACACCATATATACCACCTTAAATATTTTAGGATTACAAGCCTTATCTTAGAAAAACAAAAGAACTTCTCTGAACATAGAAAAAAGGATAAGGGAAAGCCACTGACACTTTATAGCCAAAAGGGTAAAGGTGATTTTTCTTTACATTGCGAACTATACAGCCCAGCTCCTCTATCCTTTGTTCCAAGTGAGCCTTCTCATTAAATGCTGTCTCTTGGGCAATCTGGTTAAAAACAAAAAACAAAACAAAACAAATTGCTTTCAATGTCACTGCGCTGTGTTTCACAAATGTTCAAGTAGGTAAAATTCTTTCAAACCTTGAGCCTTTCCCACAGCCTATCTCGTTCTGTGGTCATCCTTCGTAAATCAGTGAAGGCCCCATCTCTCTCGGCTTCCACCCGCTGGAGGATGGCATGCGCTGTTGTTGCTCTAGGAGGCTCACAGCTCTTCATCCCTTCTCCTGGAAGTCGGGCCGTTTCTTCCTGCGCCTATTATTTAAATACACAGATAGACTCCTATACGACAAACTTTAGAACAGACATAAATATAGCTAACTTATATCCAGCCAGTTAAAATCCAAACCTATTATCAATATGCATGGAGTAGGATAATGGTATAATTTTGATTTTACACAAATAAATGCAAATGATGCCCCCAAAATGCAAATGGATGTATGCTATTAGAAATTTGACTTACACTAGCTTTGCTAAATTTTTTAAAATTAATCTGGAGGCAATAAATGCAGGAGAAAGTTATTTACTAGGAAATATATATGGTATAGTCCATCCATTTTGTGATATAAACATGAATTCAGCACAATTCAGATAGAATACTTGTCTAATAAATATTACCACAGTGTTCTAGTCTTTCTCTTCATAAATGTATATGCCATAGTCATGTCCTAGATACCTTTCCCCTGACAGAAAGGTCCACCAATCCTTACTGACAACCCAACACACTCTCTGCATACACTTCAACCATCCTCAGTTCCTAGTCTATTCTACACCTGCAGATGATTTTGTATCTTGCTTTATGGCTTAAGTGCTGTATCTTCCTTCCTCTCAACTGCAATCACTATCTGTTCAGCTAGTCTCCAAGTCTCAGAGGCACATGTTACTTCCCAGTTTCCATAGCTACGCCTTCACCAGCATCCTGGACCTCCTCTTCTGAAGCGTCTTCTAAGATATCTCTGACTCAATTAGAATTATTTCTTCTCACTTGGAATAGCACTCTCCCTACTGGCTCTTTCTCCCCTGTCTTCAACCATGCACAGGGCTCCCATATCTTGAAAAACTGTTGTGCCCATTTACCATCCTATGACTCTCTCTTCCTCTCCTTTGTTGTAATGTCTGTACCATGGCCTGCTCCTTACTACCCACCTCCTCACCCCACTGTAACCTGGCTCCCACACCCACCACTTTGCAGAATTCAACTAATGACCTCACCAAATCTAATGGCTTTTTCTCAGTTTCTGTTCTTGATATTTTGGCAACATTTGGCATTGTTTTCAACACCTTCCTTGAAATTTCTTCCTCCCTTGGTCTTATAACATTGTTCTGCCTTAGTTTCCTGTCTTCTTTCTCTTTCAGAGGTTCTTCTACCAATTGAAAAAAACTTCCCTCTATTTATAGCTTTCTCATTCAGAGACTTCATCCACTCTGAAGGCTCAGAACTCATCTCTAAGCAGATGACTTCTATTCAGCTCTTGCTTTCTCCCCTTCCAGTCCCACATTTCTTACTGCCTATGGCAATTACTACCTTGTGGGAGACTGTTTGCATGGCATCCATTTTGCTAAAATCTGCTCTGCCATCTCCTGCCCCAAGGCAGATATCTCTGCATCATCTCTGCATTTCTTTAAGTAAAATCTGCTCTGTATACAATGTTTCTGCATTCCTTTAAGCAACCATTTACTCAGCCAGTTATGCTGTTTATCTTTTGTTCCACCCAAGATATTTACGTGATATTTACTTGAAATTGCTTCAGGGTGGTTACCACAAACTTATCCCTTGGCAACAAGTGTTCTGCTTCTTGCCCTATATATATGTGGATCTCCCCAGAATAAACAGACTTGATCAGAGCCCTGTCTTGTCTCCATTTCTGTCTCTTGTCCCTCCTCATCCTCACTCCCCCTCTAGAGTCCTCCTTGCTCGACCTGCGGCGGGTCACTACCTGAATGCACTCTGTCTGAAATCAATGCAGTATGTCTGAAATCAACACATCTTTTCAGTTCAATCACCTTGACTTTCCTATTGTCACAATTCTTCAGTCATTCAGAACAGAACTTCAGACATTTCCATTCACCTCTCCCTTGTACTCGAATCAAACCCTGTCAAGTCTTCCTCGACAGCGTCCTAGCTTAGTCCCTCTAAGCCTCAACCATGGACCACTGCAACAGTCTTCTAAAGAGTCCATGGTCTCTCCCTCCACCAGTTTTCTGGTTATGTAAGAAGATAAAATGACCTGGCTGGTGTGGCTCAGTGGATTGAGCATCGTCCCATAAACCGAGAAGTCCTGGTTCAATTCCCAGTCAGAGCACATGTCTGGGTTGTGGGTGTGATCCCCAGTGTGGGGTGTGCAGGAGGCAGATGTGTGTGTTTCTCTCTCACATTGATGTTTCTCTCTCTCTCTCTCTCCCATCCTCTCTCTAAAAAAAAAAAAAATCAATAAAAACATATTTTTAAAAAAAGATAACATATGAAGACTACACTGGAGATAATGTAAAATTGTTACTGGTTAAAATTGTGAAAATGCGGCTTTGGTCAGATTTCTTCTGCTTTATAAAAAACAATAAACTGTCCACTGCTTACAAAGCAAACAGCAAACCCTTTGTAAGGCCCAGTGAGTAGCCCCCACGTATAGTCCAGAAGCTGGTAAACGACGCTGGCTCACAGGCCAAATCCAGCCTGTGTCCTGGTTTTGTAGGTCTATAAACTGATAATGTTTTTACATTTTTAAATGGTTAAAAAAAAAATTTATAACAGGTAAAATAATATGAAATCCAAATTTGTGTCCATAAATAAATTTATATTATAACACAGCAAACATATGCATTTGTATATCGTCTATGGATGCTTCACACAAAACGGAGCTGAATCGCTGTGACAGAGCTCACATGGCCTGCGGAGCCCAAGATATTCATTATCTGGCCTTCACGGAGAAGTGTGCAGATTCCTGCTCTCAGCCAGCCGACCTCTCAAACCCCAGCTCCACTGTCACACACTTTCATTCTAGCCTTTAACAGATCCACTTATCTGTTGGTTTTCTTGCCTTCATCATTTGCCTCATATCATTCCTTTAGTCTGCAATGTTCCTTCTTATCCCTTTCAAGATAACAGAAACACCATTATTCATCCATCCCTCAGGACAAACTCTATATCATCTAGCAAAGATTTCCCTGATCGCCAAAAAGAAAAATACTCACTTATTTTTACAATATCTTCTA